TTCTGCCTCCTGCTTCTTTGTGGAGGACACGTTTGAGCACCTTGAAACACGTCCAGAGGCTGAGCGGCTAAACATGGACACTTGGTCTTCTTTACATGAAAACAACTGAACCAGTGTCAGCCCATAGTGCTCGTACTCAGGGTAAATACCTATCTGTATCTTTATACTGGAAAACATGTAGCCGTTAAATAAGTTGCTTTGAAACAGCATCACAGGAGTCAATTGACGTTGGGTGTCCGCGTCCGGGACACTGTGTTTGCGAATATATCCTCATAGAATTCCTTCACTTTGAGATCAGCAGTATAAACTTGAATTTGATGTTCATGTAGAGCTTTGGTTGACTTGAGTAAGGAGAGTGCCCTTTGAGCCTCTTTAGCATGAACCTTCCATTTCTCATATGTTTTGTTAAAGTTACGTTGAAGTTTCTTTAATTTTCAGTAAGTTTTCTTTTTCTCTCGTCTTTAGTTTCTGTATTCGCTTCAGTTTTTAGTTACAGGATTTGCTTCAAAGGCTACATCCTGAACAGACTCCTCTTCTTCTTCATGAGTTACTTCTGGGTCTCCCATTTCACTTGCAGTCTCTTTATCAGCCATTTTAGTGTATTAAGAATTTAACTGAATTTAAGAAGGAAACTCAAGGAATCTAGTGTTAATTAACTTGAGTTAAATTGTGTTGTAAATTAGAGCAAGTTTCATCCTTGAAAACTGTTTTAGATCAGTTAAAAGTATGCTTAGTGGACTATGTTTAAAGACTATTAACTGAAATTAAAACAAAAAAAAATATCAGTACTGTTAAGTGTTAAAGAGGCAGAGACATGGTTTGAAAAACAACGGGTTGTTTTCATCAACAATCTTCCGATGTGAAATTCATCGGGGCCAGACTAAATTACACATTTAATATCACATTTAGTCTGGTTTATCAGGCTAGGTAAACAGCAGAAATGTATGCCACCTTGTGTTATTGTGACCTCACTAGTGTTTATGCTTAATGCCATCACCAACCCTATGTCAGTGTCCCGCTCTTTAGTCACATAGTCAAATTACAATATTTAATAGTAGTGAATAAATGGCAAATCTTGCTAATGCATTTTTCTATATAAATATTTAGAAATAAATCACTTTGTATTCGGTAGCTGCTCCTACATGAGACCAACCAAAAGCCTTCCTCCGTCTCCTGATGCTTTTTCCTTCTCACCGTTCTCAAAAATGTATGTGGTTTGTATGAAGGAGTTTTTCTAAATAAAGCAGTCAAACCACCCCACTCCCATTGTTTTTTACGGGGCGCCGTTTGTAAAGTTAAGCAGTCAAAAATTAGGTTTGGATCAGGTTAAGTCTACTCTTAAAACACACCCATTTACTGTAGGTCAACTATATCTCTAAAATTATTTTATTTTAATTAATCGTATCAATTTTTGGTCCTTTTTGACTGTTAATGTCAACCAATACGTGTACAGAACCTTGTTGACCATTATTTTAAAGAACCTTATAAAATAAGCGGTTTAGCAAATAAAACTACAATATCAAACATTGGTAATAAGGAACGCAGCCAAAGGGAGTTTGAAATTTTATTAAAAGGACACTCAAATGAAGCATTTTTTTCCTTCAATTTATTAATGTTGGAGACTCTCTAGGATGCTTGTTTATTGACAGAAAAAAGTGGTTTATTGTATTTGAGAAAGAAAAAGCTCTGCTGCCCCTTTCTGCATGAACAAACATTGCAACAAGCCAAGTTTCTACGTTAGTTATAAATATTCACACCCGTGTCTTTGCCTGAGAGGATCATAGTGGACTTTAAATCTGAGTGAATATGAGCCTCTGAACAGCCCATTGGAGAAAAGCTCTAAAAAAAAAAAAACAGGTCCTTCAACTCAGAAATAAACACATTCAGTTTTTTTTTTGTTTCTTTCGGAGCCTCTAATCTGGAACAGCCCCAGAAACCTGAACTGAACCCGGTTCTGAAAGCCCTTTGGTAATCCGACCCAAGGCGTCCTCATAAGAATGGATGGAAACAAGAACTCACATACAGTAACATCTTTGGCAGGAAGCAGCTTCCTTAAATCCACAAACCAGAAGCTGCACAGTGATGATGTCATTGTGACACAGCGACAGCATGAAAGAGATTCATGATGTGGAATAAAAAACAATAATTTATGATACTTTGTTTTCTGAAAATCCCACCCAGACTCAATTTTTTAAAGGTCTCGCAGGCATTCCCATGCTCACCAAATGCCTCACGGTCTCACCTCAAACTAAAATCTAGTGTTGCATAGATACCGATACCAGTATCGGGTGGGGTCCCGATAGCCTACGGCACAGGTGTCAAACCGGTTCCAGAAAGGGCCGTGTGGCTGCCGGTTTTCTTTCCAACCAAGCAATATCACACCAGACTCCAGTCACCTCATCAAGTGAGTCCAATCTGAACAAGATGACTTGATGAGATGACTGGAGTCTGGTGTGATATTGCTTGGTTGGAAAGAAGACCTGCAGCCACACGGCCCTTTCTGGAACCAGTTTGACACCCCTGGCCTACGGCATTAAAGTGGTGGTATCGGTATTGCAGAGTACCAACAAATAGGGCACTGATACCATTTTGAGAGCCAAAAGTTTATTCAACTATCTTTTTCCTGCTTCACAAAGGTAGGCAGCAGCTTGACAAAGCCATTATGGCAATTATTTTTCATCCAAGAAGTATGCAGTTCTTCATATTTACACACACATCAATTTCGAACAGGTGGTATCAAAATGGTATCGGAATCAGCCAATACTGCACAGCCAGGGATCGGCTCTCGGTATCGGGGCCAAAAAATGGCATCGGCGCAACACTACAAAAGTCTTCAGATAGGTTCAGAGATTTATTACTTCCCTTCTGTTTTAGTTCCTCAAAATTTGCCATGACCAGCTGGCGCAGCCATTTTTCACTAGACTAAAACCATGCTCAGCCAGAACCTAGTTGGTTAGGTGCCATCTGTTAAATCCACATTATACCTGTAGGAGCATGACCGGCCCAGGGCCGGGGGGTCTGGGAATAAAAACATTTCTATAGCAAAAAGGGTGGCAAATATGTATAGCAATACCGTTAGACTCAGCTAGCCAACACTAGTAGCAGTTACAATCCATTTGACTCCCAGATTAAAAAAAAGAAAAATGCCCTTTATGACTGAAAAATCTGAAGGTCATTTGTTCTTTAAGACCAAGCGTGAAACCTGTGCTGTAGAACCTGCTACTGTTAAGCATAGGCTAGCCTGAAGGTCAACATCCTGAGGATGTGTATTATCAGGTGCAAGGCTTAGTAGCAGCTTGTTTGCTAAAATGCTACCATGTTCTAATAGGCCATGAAGAGTCTATCTGGGCCCTTATATAACCTCTTTGTTAACGGTTCACATTCACATTACCTGACATTTAAAAATATGTTAATGCCAGTAACTCAGGGCGTTTCTCAATATGCGTTCTTGAGCGTTCTCGTGTGCTCGTGTACTCGTGACACGTCATCAGCTTCAGCCCGAGTACCGTTCCAATTCTCGAGAACGCCAGATCGAGAACGCACCAAATCCCCGGATGTTGTTCTCACCCCGCCCTCTTTATCGAGCATGCATCAGAGCAGACTTGTGCGTTCTTAATACTGACCGCTTCCCCAGAATGCCCCACGGCCGCAGCTTGATTCGAGACAGCGCTCACAGTGTTAAGTTAAACATTCCCTTTTCTGCTGCTGTTGTTCTTCAAAAGTACGTTTTGAAATCGTTTGAGGCGATAACATTATACATTGAAGCCTCCCTGTGTGGCCTGTTTACAGCGTTAGTGCGAAATTAAAAAAAAAAGTCCGACGTTGAGCGGACCAGAGTGACCAGCAGACCTCCGAGGGTCACCGCAGCCAGGGCTAAATTTACCCCGTCTGTAGTGCACTTCTCTCGGTCTAGTTATGTGTGAACTACCGCTCGTTCTGATGGCAGTTTTTTGCGGTTCAGTAATTTTTTTAAATGTTTTTTAAGCTTTAGAAATTAAAAATATTGTTTTCAAAATGTTTTGTGTAGGGAATAAATAGTTTTGACTGTTAAAGAAATGCTAAACAACGTTGCCTGTGATGACGTCACGAGTACGCTTCTGTTCCAATACACATACGTGCTTGCGTTCTCGTCAAGTCCGATCTTCCTGCGTTCTCGGCAAGAACGGACTTCACGAGAACGCGAGTACGTACTCGCATTCTCGTGAATTGAGAAACGCCCTCATTCTCGCAAATATCAAGTTTTTATGGCAAATTAGGAATTCCTGATAGCATAGTATTGTTTTTTCCTTTTTAAGCTTTGTCTTTGCTCCGTTTGTTAGTAAACATCAAGAACTGGATTACAGCACTACTTATGCGTACAATTGGTCAATATGCCGAAAACATTGTAGGCGAGTGCGTGAGGAGCTTTCAGTGTATATCCAAAAAAACAAACAAAAAAATTGTCCAAGATCAAGTGTATAAAGGTGCAAAAAGCTGTGAAAGTCCAAGAGAAATACAACTGGAGTTTGGCTGAGAAAACAATCTGACAGTTGGGAAGTTGCTAAAGCTCAAGAAGTATTCTGATGTCACTGTGAAGGTACTAGACCCTGGAGTACCTGACCTTGTTAATAGTGCTACTGGTGTTAGCAAGCAGTCATGCCCTATCTTTCTGAGATGTGGCCTTAGCCGGTGTTTCAACAGACACCTTCTGGCTTTAAGGTAGTTTTGCTGTACTTCCAGCTGATGGCGCCAAATCTTATGACAGCACTATGGCTGGAGTTCTATTTAGTCCAAAAAGGACGATTTACACACTCACAGGTCAGAAGCTTGGAGTAAAAAGCCTTAATTTATCATCATTAACTGGATTTGGGTCTTTTTAGTATCGGCATACAATGTAATGATGTACCTTTAAGCTCTTAATATCCTCAAGTAATGCCTAACCTCTTCTCAGGGTTACTTCCTTTAGCCTTCATCGCTCCGTTACTGCAGCTGTCGGTCTGAACCACACTCTCTGGGCCTCATTTTATATTTAAACACTTTATTTTAGACTTTGAAGGCAACATTCTGGATCATGGCACATTGTTTCTGGGTTTAACAGGGAAACTACATAAAGTAGACTAAAGGAATCAACTGTGGAGATTTGACCTTAAAATTGGCACCAATAAAATAGTGAATAATTCCACTTGAATTCAAGGCAGCAGATGAAACAAAGATGATTGTCTGAAAATGTTCGATTGATGATAATAGACTTTTTTTTGTGGAAAAACAGACAAAATTCATCAATTTATGATTCTGGCCAGAAGACTGTCAGATACTTTACATTTAATTGGCTGTCAGCGGGATTAAAGGAACATTACATGTATATTTGAACATTAAAGCCATTTGGTGTTAAATAAAACCTCTAAATGTACAGATAGAGTATTTAAATCCTTGGATATCTTCATTTTCCAGCATCCAGCCAATCAAACGACAGCTTCCTTACACATGGGTGAAGTAATGGGTCAGTATGGTGTGAGGTTATCACAGTGATGTCACAGACGAAGATACAGAAACCCCTCATAAAAAAACATACACTTAAAAGCCCATTAATGGGGATAAAGCAAACATCAGCAACACTGTCCCATGTGGCCTCATCACCATCATCATCGGATCGTCACGTTTCTGAAGTCTGTTGAAGCTGTTCGGTTTCCAGACAGGAAGATAGTCTGATCGTCGCCAAGTAACTGATGAACTAAAGATTACACATGGGCTGTGAACGCAACGGGTCGTGCAGAACCTAAGACACTATAATAACGGTCAACCTGTGGATTGAACCGATTAACCAACCCCATCGCCACTGCCGGTCCTCTACCAGACCTCACAGCGCTTCCCGGTGTTCATGGGCGTCCCTTCTGGACATTGGAAATGTTGACTGAATTCCGGAGAGTTGGCCAGAGTGCCGATGACTCTGTATTTGGGGGGGCTGTGAGGGTCGGTCACCAGGCCCTCGTGAGCGCTCTCTGGTGTGCGAACTGAGCACCATACCTGAAAAACACAAAAATGCAACAGAGATGGTTCATGGGTTGAAACATAAAATCTCAAAGGTTGATCCAACCATAGATGCCTAACTGCAGTCAGAATTCTCAGTATCTCACATTGTAAACTAGATTTTTTTTTTTTACCCAGCCTTCTCTTCATTTCCGTTTCATATTTCCTTACTGTTAGAAGATAGTACACATAAATCAATATATCACTAACTAGCTGAGTTTCACTCATTCAGGCCTCAGAGCTGCAACGCTACAAGGTGTCTAAGGGAGAGGGGTTGTTTTTCCTATTAGGGAGTGTTTGGGATATAATGAATAATGCAATAACAAGCTAGACTGTTTCTAAGGGATTATTTTATAACATTATGTGTTGTTTCCACCTGTCTGTAATTGTTTGGGTAACGATATGTGGAGATCTTCACAGCGTTTTGCAGGGTTTAAATTAGTGAGACAAACTGTCTATCCAAAGCAGGGCTGGACAACATTCTCTTTTCTTGCAAAGAAAATAAAATGCCAACTGAGTGAAATCCATTGATCTCCGTAGACCTAACTGCACTGTATAGCTGAATAACTTTTTATCATTACATTAGTTAGACGATACCACCTGCACCACTAAGCAGACTCCTCAGATTTGCAGATGACATCACTCTCGCTGCTCTAATCCAAGACAACATCTAATCTAGGGAACAACGAACGGATCTTCCACCAAACAGGTCTTTCCTTAACTCAGGGGTCAGGGAAAAGCTATCCAATATCTCTGCAGACCCCACGCATCCTGGACACAAACCTTTTAGAAATGTACCTTCAGAGTGGCACTACAGGGCACCAATTATAAAAAAACAGGCACCAAAGGCTTCAGCTTTCATTAAAGGAAAAGTCTGGTCATATACAGAATTCAAACTCCTGAAACTACTTTAAACTGAAATTATTGCATACTGTTCACTAAGTGTTTTTAATTAAGAGTAATTTTCATTTGAATGTGCTTTACTCGAGGCATCCATGTTTGTCAAAGAACACTACTGCGTCACGGTGCGGTATCGGCTGTTGATCAAGTCCCAGTGCTGTATCTGGTGTTTGTCACAACGCGCTTTTATCAAAGTCATCTTGAAAACATTCTTCTTCCAAATGTTGGCTACATATTACATGTTTTTTCTCTGGCCAGAAGTTCAATGGCAGATCCTTCCTCCTCAAGTTGGCAATCCAACGACGAACCCGTCCGTGAAGGATCATGAATCAGAAAGGTGAAATAACTAATTTTTTTCACTTTTACCCAAAGTATTACATCACCAAACTGCCATGCATGTGGGTATTGTCAGTTTCACTATAGCTCTTGTGAATTTCAATGGTAAAGTCCTCTGGAAATCTTCAATAATTGTTGCTGATTACAGATGTGTCTAGTAGTTCCCATTGATTTTGCTTGTAAAGCGGGAAGAATGGCGCTAGGCTTACCGCACCGTGACGTCACTGCCGGAAGGAGTGAGGTGTTACTATATTTGGGAAAAAATGGCTGCTCCCAGACCCATAGATCGCAATAAAAGCTATTGTTATTTTTTGTACTGATCAACGTGAAATTCATTAAATCACCGCAAACCTATTATTTTTAGGTATATATAACCATCTATTGGTTATTCTTGTTTAACTGGACTTTTCCTTTTTGGTTTTGCAGAAAAGATCCTTTCACACCTCTCTAAAGCCGATGAATAAACTTTGACTGGACAGCAAACAATCTGACTCTTCTTTTTAATATATTCTTTTCCAAGTCTGCCATCTGGTGCCGTGTATTAATCCCTGTGGAACTCCATTTTATTGGAATGATGGTTAGCTGTTATCGGAACCAAGAATGGAGTCAGGATTGAAACCAAGACTGCACCCTCCAAGACAGACCTTCTGAGACCGATATGAAGACGGAGGCCAAATGTTTAGCATATAAACTAATATTTCTGGACATTATTGTTTTGTACACCAAAAAAAAAATGCAAAACTAAATGTACAAAGGTTAATAATCCAAATAAGAAAACAAAAACTGAGACCAATGAGCTGAGACAAAGCCTGAGCCAAGGCTGGGAAAAAAAACAACTAACAAAACAGGTCAAGGATGGTCTCAACACCATACCTGATGAGAAGAAACTCACCTGAGCAAATCCTAGAAAGAAGAGCTGATCATTTGTTAGGTTCACGGCTGGAAGCCTCTTCTCCTCTCCATTTTTCCTGATCCACGATCTGTACGCCTGAGATGAACAGAGACAATGTAACAAAATATTTAGATGAACAAAGCAGCAGCAGGTTTAGGTCTGTGTTGTTACTAACATGGTAAGCTGCTTTCAGTCCCCCATTGTCAGCAATGTTTTCTCCAAGTGTCTGTTTTCCGTTGATTGGTTCCCCGTTTACGGTGTAGTGGTTGTACTGGTCCACCATGCACTCTGTTCTACGACGGAACGCCTCCACTGAGGAGTTCTGCCACCACGGCCTCAGGTTACCCTCTTTATCGTACTCACGACCTGGAGGACAAGACAAGGCCATCAGATCTTACACCACAGACCTAAAAACCTAACCAGTTGGGGAACTCATGGTTGTCAAGTTCCTCTGACCTGGATTCACACAGTCTGAATCTGATTCATTTTATGTAACATTCCTCCATTCTTCCAATTCAGACTGAAACATGTTCCAAACCCTAGCATTGAGAAACCAAGCCATGAAGAGTTCTCAGTCCTATATTGTCCGATTCTTCCTGCAAACGGGTCTCAGGGTGTGATTTCCCTCACATCTTTGGCTTTTAGATTCTCCAGATTAGGAGCGGAGCCAAAGCGATTCCCTTCTTCCTCATGTTATAGACCAGTGGTGTCATGCTATAGACCAGTGGTGTCATGCTATAGACCAGTAGTAACCAATTAGAAATCAGCAGGGTCCGAATAAAGAAAATTAACCAGTAAAGGTCCGGAGATATTTTTAATTATAATCCGTTACTTTAGACAGAATTTAACACTGAAATAAAATGCAGGTGTTTATGTATCCATGTTATACATTGAATATTTAAATAAAAAATATTGAAAAAATGGAAATTCTTTTTCGATTTTAAAATCTAAATTATTTTGTAGAAGAGAACAACAATTGTTCAGTTTGGTATATTGACAATTTCCTGATTCACATCTTTGATAAACACATGAACTGACCGTTTTTTTGTTGTTGTTTTTTTCTGGCTTAAAACAAAGCCCTTCTAAAGCTCATATAAAGGAGCTCACTTTGAGCCTGATCAATATTTATTTTCGATTATTTTTATGTTGGAGAATCCTGCTTCACAGCAGCAGGTTGAGCCAAACATACTCAAAATGTGCAGGGTTATCTTTGAGCACAACATTTCACTTTTCTTTCACCAGTTCACCACAGTTCTTCCAGCAGTCCACACCTTCTCTGCTCTTTTTCTCATCGTCTTCTCCTTCTTTCCCATCGCCCGGCTTGCCACAGGTTTGCCTGCTGTGTCTAAAAGTAGCAGCAGCAACAACCCAGACTGACAGCAGCTCATTGGCTCATTGGCTAATTTGTATCAGGTCCAGATGCTCCAGAAGGCTTTACCGTATTAACAGGAGAAGCAGTGCAAGTGAAGTTAGACACCGTCGTCAGACAACATGCAGTAATTTATAAATGTTTTAAATCAGGTTGGTCCGGATTAGCCAGCAGGTGGGTCCAGATCTCTATAGACTAGTTGACCTCTGGTCTATAAAGGTTTAGGATGTGGTCTTCCGTTATCTTGATAAGAAAATGGAAACATATCTGTGCAATAGATCTTTATGGCTGCCTGCTGCAAAGAGTTTTGCCAAATGTATCCCTACCTTCACAGACCCTGGCTGATGGGCACTGACTGCAGGTAAGACCCTGTTTAGACAGCAGATGCCTCAAGCCCAGAGCAGTGGATTCTACCTCTGGATATCCAGCCTCTGAACTGCAAACTGAAGCTTGTAAAGGAAACTGTGTTGTAGGAAAAGTTGCAGGTTTCCAAAAGTAATTATAGCTTCATCGGGAGGAATGTGGAGTGATTTTATTTTTTTCCATTAACACAGTTTTGAAACTAGAATAAAAAACAAAAGCTATCCAGATTTGAAAAGTTAAAAAAAAGGTTTTAATATTAACTTTGCTGATTTCTTAGAAATAGTTTTTAAAAATATTTTGTATTGAACCTTCTCTCAAATTTATCTTTACATATTTAGTAATTCAGGTCTTTCAATTTTTATGGAAAAGAGTTGATATTTTCCTTTTTTTCTCCTAGTACAAATTTCAGTTTTTTTTAGATTTTGTTTTACCAAAATATTCTTTTAAAATTGAATTTTTTCTTTTTTAATTTCCATTTACAAAATGTATTTCTGCTGTGCATAGAGAAACATTTGAAGATCTCCACCCATCTGAGTGATGTTAATCTGTCCAATGTTTTCTCCCGCAGTTGGTATCAGACTGGAGATCTTTACCGATTAGACGTAAATGGTTGCTTTAGGACCAAACCATTAGTCCTGAATCATTAATTCCGGTCAATGCAGTGACAGCCAGTAACCAATACAATTGTCAACTAAACCCGCTAATTTCTAATACAACAATTTAAAAAACACAGATTAATATAGAGGTATTTTATCAGATTCAAACATACAGTTAAAAAAAAAACTGCTTGACTGTGGATTTAAATTGTTTTTTAAGTTTTATTTATTCTGTTATGTTTATTCTCTGTTTCTGTCTCACTCTTAGCTACTAGAAAGAGCCATATATTTTTTCCTAAACGTTAAACTTTAATTCCATTTCATAAAGTATTTGTTAATTTAGCACTACTTTTATATTTTTACTCAAGTGAAAGTAGACAGTTGTCCAGGTACAACATTTACAGTTTATTCCCCTGATCTCCAAATAGATCAAGTTACTCATGGTGGTTTGAATCTATTTTTTTACTTTCTATAGCACTAACGGGGTGAAAAAAAGGAAAGGAATATTTCTAAAACATACCAGACTTTGTAAAACCTTTATCACTGAATAAACAGTTGAATCTGTTCCTTACCCTGATCATCAAAGGCATGGGTAAGCTCATGACCCATCACCACCCCAATGCCACCAAAGTTCAATGCTCTGAAAAACAACATTTTAATGCAGTTTTAAAACATTTCTAATCAAGCAGAGGAGATCAAATATGTTCTGAAGTCAATGTCTCTACAGGTGGACAGACAGACAGACACAAAGAGTGGTGGATGTGGAGGTAAACGGACTTAGGGTGGTCGTGGGCGTAGAAAGGAGCTTGCAGGATCCCAGCAGGGAATACGATGCCGTTCTTAGTGGGCATGTAGTAGGCATTAACTGTAGGAGGAGTCATGCTCCACCTGCAGGAAGAGAGGAGGGAAGGAGAAGGAGAGAGGGAGGGCAGACAGGAGTTATTGTTGTGTCTGTAGAGTTGTGTATATATATATATATCCACCCATAGAACAAAACAGGAAGATATTTTCACATATAAGACACAAAGCCAGGTCTTTTAGATGTTCTTGGCTCAACTAAAGTCACACCCTGATATAACTGAACGAAGTTCTCTGCAAGAAGGAGGATTCCCCATAAGCACAAAACTGTGCTGGTCCAAAACGAGCTAACCTAAAGCTCAAGACCAGGATTGTGCGGACCAGTGAAAACAGGAAGAAAAAACAGGAAAAGGGACACGAAGCAGATCTAGCAGAGTTTCTCTGTCCAGCTTCAGCCATGCGCGGCTGGTTTGGTGCGTGGTTGTTTGTCATCCAAATTATGCAAATCAAAAGATTTGTTTTCTCCTGGTCAAATATAACACCTGCAATAAACAAAAACTTGTCTTCATTTGCAGGCTTTGCATAAAAGGGCTTGTTATGTTGTTTTTCTTTGCCATAGAATTGTACTTAATCTCATTGCGACACACGCAGGATAACGTGCTGTAAATGTAAAAGGGGACTGGTTTCTCTCTTGGTAACATATTTAAGCCAGATTTCAATTCAAAATTCTTCAGCAGCAAAACAAAAACGATCCATTAGCCTATAGAGGCTAGACTCTGGAGGAAAACAATTGTAAACCATCTGAAGACCTAACCTAATATTAAATATGAAAATAAACAGTAAGGCTTAACTTTAGGATGTAAAGTCAGAAACATTCTGAATCTTTTCTTGATTAGATTAAAATCATACAGCCAAGTACAAACATAGTGTAGTTAATCTTCCCGGAGTCTCTTCCCGAGTATGTTTAATGAACCTGCATGTTTCTAACAAACTGGATGATGGTCTGAGACGTGAGGGGTGTTTCTGAGTTACTGGTCTTTGTTTGGAGTCTTCCTCAGCTGGTCGGCCATCACTCGGGCTGAGAAGTTGTAGAAGTTCAACATGTTTTGGAAGAAGCTGTCATCCGACACCTCGTACTAAAACACAGAAAGAGGATGTGATGACACAAATACAACAGCAGGGGGCAGAAGAATCCCACCTAACCATCTGAAACTGAGCACAAATTAGGGGGAGTGTGGCAGCCTAGTGGTTGGGGCATTGCACTTGGAATCCAGAGATTCTGAGTTCAAGCCCCACTCCCACGACTGACACCCTGGCTCCCTGAGCAAGACCCTTAACTCCAGATTGCTCCCCGGGCACCGCACAATGGCAGCCTGCTAAACCCCAAGGGGGTTAAATGTGGACAGTTCATTTTGTTGCTCTGTACTTGTGACAAGTACAGAGATGAAGTTGAATTCTATTCTATTCCTTGCTCCTGCTCTCCCTGGCGCCTCCTGTTCAACTTATCTCAGGTTTCAAAACTTTAACTAGCTTCTTCTGGTTGTCTAAAATAAAAAATAAAAAAATCTATTTGCTATGGCTGCTGCCGCACAATGGCAGCCCACTGCTCCCCAAGGGGATGTGTCAAATGCAGAAGGGGAATTTCGTTGCTTTGTAATTTCAAGACAATAAAGTTGAATTCTATTCTTTCAAATTAAACAGGACAATAAATGTGGTTCTGTTCTGTCATCAAAGCTGTGACTTACCCCATCGTAAACATCATCCAGTTCTTTGGGGTCCAGGATGAATTCTGGGAAACCAATCATGTCATAGATTGCATCTGCCTGTGAAGAGACACCAACATCTTTAGGGTATCATGTCTCTTTAAGGACACCACTTCATGCAGGAGGATGCTGTAGGTGACTTTAAGACTCGGTCCAGGTACCTTGTCCTTAGCAGCCTGTCTTGTCTCATCATCCATCCAACTGAGTCTGTCCAAAGCGTATTTGAATGCAGAGCGGATCTCATTGATCATGTCCTCTGCCTAATGGAAAAATGAAAGTTGAGCTGAAGTTACCGAGGTCGGACCTGCATTAGGACTCCTGAACCTACAGGGATAATGTCTCCGGATACATGCAGGGACTTACAATCTCTTTGCTGTGTTTGTCAAATGTTGCCTTGACAAAGAGAGCTCCAAGAGCAAAGCCCAGAGTGTCGTCTGTGTTCCCGATGCAGGTCTGCCAACGCGGCGTGCATGACTGCAAAAGGAAAACTAGTTACAACCATGGAACCAGGTTGAGCAAGCCACAACTGGTTAGAACCAGTTACAGCTAACTGGAACAAGTTGGTTAGAAGCAGCTTAAACCAGTTACAGCCAGCTTCAGCCAACTAGAACCACACTGGAACCAGTTATAATTAGTTTGAAGCAGCTTAAACCAAGTTGAACCAGCTACTACCAGCTTTAGCCGACTAGAAGTAGTCAGAACTAATTGAAACAAGTTACAACTGTTGGAAGCAGCTGGAACAACCTGCTGGCAGTAGAAGAGAAAGTCAGTGCCGGCGAGGCTCGGACTGGTAATCTGTTAAAACGTTGTCAGTGACGGCGCTGTATCGTGTGAGTGGGTGTCTGGCTGGCTTTGTGCAAGTGTTGGACGTTACACATCAGCAGTCACCGTCGCATCTGTGTTAATAACCAGTAAAACTCCATTATAGAAGTCTTGGTGATGGTCTTCATTTGATAGATTGGTTAATCCAATGTGTATTTGTGTTTCACATTTGAGACGCATGCATTTGACTGTGCTTCTATTTTGTCTTTCTCGGGGGTGCTTTGGGTGTAAGTGGGCCGGTGTAGATGGAAAAACGCCAGGGCTAAAAATCGTTCCCAGTCCGAGCCTGCAGCCAGCTGAGGGATGTTGATCGAAACCAGAGGTGAGACCAGACCTTCAGCCTTTAATAACTTCTAGCATGCTATGAGAAAAGAGAAATCCGGCACTGAAAGTGTCAAAAGCAGTTTTGAAGGGAACATTCTTTTTGAATAAAAAATGTGAAACCTAAATCAGACATGGAAATCAACAGTTAGTTACCACAGGCTTAATTACCAGAGAGTCTGACCGTCAAAACCAACCCAAATGTTTCACGTGGTCAAAACATCCACCAAGAGCTTTGATTAGTTAGTGATATCAGTGATGCAGGTGATGACGAAGCACAATCCTCTAGCTGAGGGAAGCTGGTCTTGGTCTGCTCCTTGAGGATGTTTCACCTTCATTTAAAAGGGTTGTTCAGACCGGGAGGAGGGAGCATCCTAAAGCAGGTCAGTCATGTCTCCCCCTCTCAGTGTAAAGGTCTGAACCTCCCATTCATGGGGGATCTGGAGACAACAAGTCATGTGTTTGTTCTGCCCAGCCACTGAACCAGGTGAGTCCAATCTGCACAGGTTAATTCACTCTGCAGATTGGACTTGCTTGGTTCAATGGCTGGGCAGAACAAACACATTTCCATTGCTGGAACCTCCCTTGGCCAAAACTCAAGGTTTGATGATGAGAGATGAATCATCTTCAAGCAAGAACCAGGTGCCTTCCTGGGTGGCATGCTCAGTGATTCCCAACGACCAGGGGGAAGATTAACTTCACAGGGTCCAAGTACAGCAGAAATGTACTGGACAGTGACCATCGAAGCCATTCAGAACTGGCAGCAGACGGAAGTAAGAGGAAGAGGCTGTTTGGACTGGTTCGCACTGGTTCTTGCTGGTCAAAGTAGTAAAAGTGACAACGTGTTATTTAGCAACACTTTTAAGCTGTTTTGATTAAAAACTTATTCAAAAGGTAAGAAAGAAATGTCAGCATTTTTCAAGACATAAAACTTCAGGTATATCAGGCTGTTAAAAGTACACAATGATTTAGACATACTAGGATAGACTGCTGACCTGACTCAGCCAGATGGATTTGCTCCGCATATCCATCTGGAAACCTTCCGTTGAAGTAATTTTGGGAAGGGGCGAAAATACTGGTTAGCTGATTGGCCTATGTTGGTGATAGACGGGCCAAATAAACCAATCAGATCAACGAAGCATATGACGTACCAACAGCCAGGCTACTCTTGCCGAAACCAGTCGGGAGAAGAGCAAAAACATCTTTTCCTCTGAGAAAAGCCTCCAGAGCAGTGTTTTGCTCTTCTTTCAGTGAAGAAATACTCTGTAATTCCGATAAAACTTGCTCGATAGCCACGCTAACATTTGTTTCATCGGCTCAAGCCGCCATGTTCTTTAGACTGAACTGTCGCGCTTCTCGTTGCGTCACACCTCAACCCGCCTCAAAGCCAACGCTGATTGGACGTTAGTTTGGTGAACGGCTCCAAATTTTCTTCAACGGAGAGTCTCCAGACTGATTAGCGAGTGAAATCTTGAAAGCTCGCGAGATCAGGATGGTCTCACGAGGCTAATAGACTGCTTCAAAATGAATGAAATTTTTCTGACTAACTGAAACCAAACAGAGCCAGTTTAAACTAGACAAAACTCTGATTAGCCTGCCCCCCCTGCTGAAAAAGATAATAGACCAAGGACCAGCTTGCAGTTTTACCCATTAATACCAGCGACCTCAGATTAAGTGATTCAGAATTAGAAAATTTTTGAAGTCAGATCGGCTGCAATTGTCAGAAGGCTAAACCTTAATATGTTTAGATTAGGAAATCAGTTTAAAGAAACAAACACAGCACTGGGTCTTTTTCCATGTGACAGTGAGACCCATTTAGCATCAATCCATTAATTTTCACCTGCAGTGGTACTAAATTCTAAAACAGAACCAGTTTAAACCAATATCAGATCGGCCACAGCGTCAGCAGCACAACACTTAACATTAACTCACTAAATATGGGTCCAGCAGTCAGGAGAAGATATTAAACATTCCCAACATGAGGCTTTAGACTGGGATGCACTGTGTCAGCCACACAGAGAGGACATCAATGCAACAACTGAGTGTGTGGCTGAATACATACATTTCTGTATTGATAACACCTTCCCTACCAGAACAGCGAAATCCTTCCTGAATCATAAAACATGGATCACAAGTGATCTGAAGGAACTGTTTAACTAGAAAAAAAAAATAACAAAAAAACCCAACAAGAGATGGTTGTAGATTTCAAGCAAAAGGAACAAATTGAATCCTGTTAGCAACCTGGGAGAAGAAGTGGAGGTATAAGGTTATAAATACCTTGGTGTTCATACAGACAACAAACTGAGCTGGAGACAACTGTGAACAAGAAGGGACAGAGCAGATTGTACTTTCTAATGAAGCTTGAGTCCTTCTGCATTTGCAACACTGGAAAAAATAAGTGCATTTGTTCTCGATTTGAGAAAGTAAAAGAGACATTTTGCCAATGGAACAAGACAATTTACATTTAAAATAAGAAAACACAATTGCATTGTCTTATTTCAAGTACATTTTATCTAAATATCCTATTTTAAGAGTTAAAATACTCATCATCTAATTTACCTACTCAAATTAAGGGTAAATACACTTAATTTAAGAATTTCTTACTTATTTCTAGATTGTTTTTCCAGTGAAGAAGCTACATATAGTCTATTGGTCTGTTGTAGAGATTTTGATCTTTTCTGGGGTACCAGCATCAGAGGAAAGTCCTTAAAGAAGCTGAACAAGCTAATAAAGAAGGCCAGTCTGCTCCAGGAACTCCTCTAGAATCTCTGGAGATGAATTCACAAAAAGCGATTTTCCATAAAGTGAAGATGATCATGGACCACAGTCAGCATCATCTTTTAAAACGGGCTCTCCAGTGAGAGGCTTCTATAGACCCACTGCAAAAAACACCAATATAGAAGATCCTTCCTGCCTGCAGCTCAACATCCACAACAACTCCATGAAAAAATAAACAACGGAAGAAAAAACCCTATAACTTACTTCATTGAGATATGACTTATTACACTTCCTTTCCTTTGGCATTAATAAAGTTTTTGAAGTGAACTGAAATTACTTTAAAACAGGTGCCAACCTAGATATCATTAAATAAAAGCATTTTCTGAATCTGTTCCTGTGTGGCTTTGACTCCATCCTGGAGAGAAATATCAGCTGTGCTGCTGCCATCAACATCTTTGTTTATAGATGTTGGAGCTTGGACTGTTTTTCAGTGTATTCCTGTTTCTGACTGTGACTGGCTGGATGGCCTCTCTTCGTCCTCTGACATAGGAGCTGGCTAGGTTTACAGTTACCTTTTGTATCTCTGCTTCTGTCTCTTTGAACCCAGTCAGCCTCAGCAGATGGCCGCTCACACTGAGCCTGGTTCTGCTGGAGGTTTCTTCCTGTTAAAAGGGAGTTTTTCCTCTCCACTGTCACTACAAGCATGCTTGGTGTGGAGGATTGCCTTCAAGTCAATGAGAAGATGCAATCAACTGGTTTTTCTTTAGATAGAAAACTGGATGATTTGATGAACTGTAAAGTGCCTTGAGATGACATGTGTTGTGAATTGGCGCTATAGAAATAAACTGAATTTTCTACCAAAATGGTTCAGGTGAAAAACCGGTGCTAACTTTGTACCAGTGGTTGATGTTGCTATTGACTCTAGAGCTGGTAAACTGGTTCTCTTTAAACACGTTCTGGAACTACATAAGAGGAAGAAGAAGTACTTTGATCAGGAACTAGATACAGACTAATGGCTTGCGGCGCTGAACCAGTGAGAACCAGTTACAACAGGCGGGATCAAGCGTCCCCAGCAATATCAGTAGAAGCAAAGGAGAACAGAACCAGTTGGAAATTCAACACATACAAGAAGCCATTACAGCCCAGAGGGACTGCTTCACAGCGGTTCAATTAGAGCAGCTAAAAGGTCAGGGATAAGGATTACCGACCGTGGGAGAATTCCTACCTCCATCTGGAAGAGACACCATCATCAGCAGCTGAACTATGCTCAGGTAAGCATGCTGTTGGTGTTTTAGCCAGAGTGGACGTACCTTCTTGGTGCCGTAGAGACTCTCCAGAAGTTTGTCCTGAGCATTCTCGAAGCGCTGATCCAGAGTGGCGACTCCCTTCTGAACCAACGTCCACATCATGTAGTTGTTCAGCAGACTGGGGGCAGAAAAAGCTGATCTTATCACCTGAGGGCCAACTGAAGCACTGAGATTAGACAAGTAAACACCTCTCCAGACATCAAAGGTGAAGATTTGTTCCGTTTGTCTTGTTGTCCAAAACACAAAGGAACGGACTAAATGTCCTGCTAACATTTTCCATCTGAAGCTGTGATATATTGTGTGATCTGATCAGACGGTTACCTGCGGTCGGTCTTGTTGATGAGCTCGGACACCTGCTGCAGGTACTCTCTGGCATACAGAACCACTGGTTCTGTGTCGTTTAGGTCCAGAGGAGCCAGAGAAAAAGTCAAGAAGTCTAGCCAGTCCACGGCTGGAGCCAGCAGCTGGAAAGGTAATCAGGAAGTTAATAAATAGTACACCTCCCAGTAGCCTTCGCTGTTTTATATATTGTAAGGATTTATTAATAATAGTTCTGCAGAATCTATTTGGTCAATCTCTAACGTTATGCCCTCTCTCCCTTTTTCTCATAGCAGCTTCGTCTCGTCTGTTCCTGTTTGGCTGTGACACCATCCTGAAAAGAAATATCAGCTGTGCTGCTGCCATCAGCACCTTTGTTTATAGATGTTGGGATGATCGGGATTTTTTCCAGTGTAGTCCTGTTTCTCTAACTGTGACTGGCTGGATGTTCTCTCTTCATCCTTTGACATGGAGCTGCCTCGGAGCTCGTCTGCCTGGCTGAGTGTTTCCTGGACGGGGGTCGCCTTTAATATCTGCTTTTTGTGTCTCTGCTTCTGTCTCCTTGAACCCCAGTCGGCCTCAGCAGATGGCCGCTCACACTGAGCCTGGTTCTACTGGAGGTTTCTTCCTGTTAAAATGTAGTTTTTCCTCTCCACTGTCGCTACAAGCATGCTTAGTGTGAGGGATTGCATTTAAGTCAATGCAATCAACTGGTTTTCCTTAGATAGAAAACTTTGAATCAATTTGACTGGATGATCTGGTGAACTGGGATGACCTGTTGTGAATTGGCGCTATAGAAATAAACTGTATTGAATTAATAACCAGAAAACAGTTCAAAACATTCGGCTTCATTGTTCTCCATCTTTACTCCTTCCAAACAGGATTCTTGCCTCCAGATTGGTCAGTGTTTGGACACTAATCTTAGACTCCAGAGAGGGGAGAAAATTATTCTGGAATTCAACAATGAGCTTCTTTAGAAGATTTTCACTCAAAAGATGTGAATTTAGAAATATTAATGCAGTTCTCTGACAGCAGGGGGCACTGAAGGTCACATTGCATTTTTTGTTTGAGAAAAAAACAAAGATAATTGATGACAGCCTTTTCAGAGCGCTGTTTGTGAACAACAAATAGATGAATCAAAGGTGATAAAACTGTGACATTTCTTCATGGAATCCAGGTAGTTACACTGATGATGATGTGCTTCTCTGCAGGTGAAGCTTTTCCAGACAAAAAAAAAAAAACAGCAACACTGACCAAATCAGAGTCTCTAGCTTTGAGTTTATGTAACAACCTGTTATCTAACAGAACCCCATCCTAAGAGATACAGTAACTTAGCAACGGGCTCATGGCAACAGTCACCATGGTGAACCCTGAAGCATCCGCAGCCCCATAGGACAAAGAGTATGTACGCAGTGAGCAACACACAGGCGTGGTGCGAGGACGAAGGACAAAGGAAACTCATGTTGGCCTCAGAGAGTTTTAGTGCCTGAAATGTTTCCGTCAGATCAGATTAGAGATTAAAACCCCGCTGAGAGACGACAATGACGTTAAGCTGCTGGCCTTCCCGCTCTAGAAAAACATGACCTTTACCTAAAATGAGCAGCAGATTCTGACTCATCACTTTAACTGATGATTCAGGGGTTAGTCTGTGTTGTTCATGGTGATGAGGGTCTATCCAGGACTCGGGTTGACTGGTGGGACCATGAAAGATTCTGTTCCAATGAGTTTGCAATAAAAATGGCATTTTATTATGTCTTCAAAAAATATGAATTTAGGCTTGAAAATGGCTGTAAACAAAAATGTTTTAAAAGAAAATGTGGATTACGCAAGTTTGAAATATTTTATTCATATTTTTGTGCGATTTTGTCCCACAAAGTCATAAAGAAGACTGCCAACTTGGTCTGACGGGGTACGTCAGTGAGGGCATGGTTAAACAGGCAGGCTGTTTAAAGAGTGGATGTAGAGACTTGGAAAGTTGGGTGGAAGGAAAAAGTTTGGTGGGAAAAGCAGCAGCTTATTCAGGACCTCAGCTGTTGATCTCACAAGACCAGATATGTTCCGGAAGTAGACTACACTCACACATTCAACACATTCAAAGATGATTGTCGCCACGCCATGTCACTTGGAACCCGGACCAGGATTGCATACTAGTCCGCATCAGAATCCCTCTCATGGTTCAACATCTCTGAGAGAATAAGGCTACGTTCACACTGCAGCCTGAAGGGACCCAAATCTGATTTTTTTTGCCCATATGCAACCTGGATCTGATCTTTTCATGGCTGTCTGAACAACACAGATCCGTTTTTTTCCAATCCGACACAGGCCACTTGGCTTTGTGGTCCTGAATCCGATACGAATCTGATCTTTTCAAATGCGACCTGTGTGTGAACGGCCAGGTCGCATTCATCCGAACTGAACGCCATTAATACCCAACAAAGGTCACTATTTTGCGTCTTGCTACGCAGAAGCTGCAAGAAAAACAACCACCATGGCAGATGATGATGCGAGGAGCAGTATTTATGTTTAACCATATTGAAAAAATTTAGTTTTTATGGTTGCAAAAGACCGCTAGATGCGCGCCGGTACTACCATCCATGTTTACTTCCATAAACATGCAGCAAGCTGGCCTGTGACGTCATCGCATCTTCTGCTGCGCATGCGGGACACTTGCGTTGTATGACTGCAGTTCACACAGGAGATCATATACAGGTAGCATATATTTGGAAATATGAATGGAAACGCAAAAAAAAAAAAAAAAAAAAAATCGGATTTCACAAAAAAATCGGCATTGAGCATCAAGGCCTGCAGTGTGAACGTAGCCTAGGTTTTGTGATTTTAGGATAATCAGAATGAAGAGGAATGAGTGTTTCCAACCTAAGTATATTTTCAATATTCATGTTTTCATGCTTCCTTCCACGAGTTCCCTCTAAAGTCCTGGTTATCCTGTCGCAGCAGTGTGTCGTAGCGAGCTTGTCACAGATATTGTTGATTTATGCCCAATATTGAAGCGTGGTCTGCGCTGTTATTCCATGCCACAACGCAAGAGGGACAAACCGGAACTAGCTGTGGGTCTAGATACGGCCGAGGCGGTGAGGAAGTGGGGACAAGTTTGTGCGACAACGGAGGGACATGAGAGCGAAAAAGAGCGGGGATCTAGGTGCGCACCTCGCTCTTCTACCTGGTTCATCTTCACGAGTCGTTTTCCACAATGTCGGTCACACAAACAAAACAAGCCGGTAACGTACCAAACAGGAAATGCACATAGTGTAGGGCGGATCTAGAATTGACCAATCAGAGGCCTCCTGTCTGTGGTCACCTATAATTTTGGAGAGGTGCACAAGAGTGTCTGGGACAGGGGCGGAGGTACATTTGCGACATGCAGACGACCTGGTTTCTGAGTATAAATCAGCCTTAAAGTCCAACAGAAGAAGCTCCTGTTCTCAAACTGCAGCTAGCTTTAGTCCAACAGGTGGTCTGCTGGTTTGAAGCCCGACAGAGAATCTGGGATCCATCCATCCAGAGGGAGCCTGTTCTCACCTGCAGCTCTGCAATGGTGACCTTGTGGTAGATCTTCTCTTCGTCTCGCCGCTGGTCCTGGGGGACGGTGATGTTAGCTAGCGCCGTCTCAAACTCCAGAATCTGCTGCATTTGAAGCTGGGTGGAGCTCTTCTCGCCCCCCAGCAGCGTGCCCAGCTCCACCATGTAATCCAGGTATGCTGCCAGCACCTTCTCATTGGCCGTCTTGTTGAGGTAATAGTCCCTGGACGGTAGGAAGAGCCCTGATTGGTCCACCTGAGGAGGAGATTAACAGGTGATCTGGCAAAACTTGAGGTTCATGGATCCGATCTTCAGCTTAAGTGGGGACCAGATGTTTCACACAAACACAGCAGCTACCTGAAGCCACTAACACACCAACAGTTGGATGGAAACAAAGAGGAAGACGAAAACAGAACGTAGACTTTTCTGGAATACCTGGATAACGTTGCTGTTGGAGTTTTTGGGATCGGTGCTGACTCCCACACTGAAAAACGGCTGAGCTCTGTACGGACCAGAGACCATCTTCAGAACCTCCATGAAGTTGTCTTTTTCCCACGGACCGGTCATGTTCCAGCCGCCGATCTGAGCACAGATTACAGCTTCAAAATAAATTTGACTAAAAGCAGATTAGGTTCAGCAGTAATCCCTCATCCCTACAGCTGTAGGAGTTAAATTGAGCCATTACTTCTCATCAGATGCGTTGATTAATGTCGTGGGGAAACGGCTGTTCTAACTGTTTTATTTCCAAATTCTACCGACTAGACGAGTGAATAAAGTGAATGTGATTGGTCGTTTATCAAGGGGGCGGGATTGTTGTGGTGGAAGGTTCGCAAGCAAGTTTGGTTGTGGCCGGTTTGTCAGAAGCATCTTGCTAACCAGTTAGCAACTTAGTGCTAGCAGGTTCCCAATGGGAAATTCCATTGGGACCAAGTAGCACTAAATTGGTGACTTAGAAGCGACTCTGTGAAGGAACGCTATGGACAGCGGAAACATGCAAGAGGAGGAGAGTTTAGTGTCGGAGGTCGTGGATGAGTCTCCTCCGTCATACATTTTTTAATTAGAGGAGGAAAGCGGGATGAAGATGTTGTGGAAGAGGACGCCAAGGCGGCAGAAGCTTGGTTTGGTGTAGAAGGCTTCCAGCCGTACATGTTTGAGCCCTTGCCTCGCAACGCTGCCAGTTCTGTTAGCTCTACGCCTGCTCACGACACAGACGTCCATCCCTGTGAACACTGGGACCGAACTCAATGGGAAAGGAAATTATTCTGATTTCAACCGTTGCGTGTATTCGCTGTGACATATGAAAAGATGGTCCGACCAAAAAAAAATTGATTGACAGATGAACATTGATATATGATTGGCTGAATTTAGGTGTACAGGCTGACATATAACTAACTGGCCTGCAGAAGATAAAAAAAACACAGATTTTAAAACAGGATCATTTTTTAAATAGAAATTTTCTAACTTTTGGGACAATATGGTCTGATAAAGAGTACATTTATATGCATGTTTAAGCCAGACTTTACCTGAAGACACCAGAACAGCCATCAATCTGAGAAGGGATGCTACACTAAAGTCTCTACGGGTCAAAGGTCGTGACCCTGATCCGGTGTGAGCGATTGAAAGCCTACACAAGTTTGTTTGGAAGAATTCAGACATATCATCATAAACAGATCATCCATGGTGTAAAGTTCTGCGGAGGAGGAATGATGATTTGGGCTCTTCTAGTAGCTGCAGCAGCAAGATAACTGACGGGTCTTCGGTTCATCATGTAAAGGCTGGAAACCATCCTGGGGATGTTGGTGGTTTTATTGAGGCAGTTGCTATGACGAAAGCGCCAGTTTACCTTGGTTATTAGGTCCATGAGAGGCTGAGATCCGAGCTCTTCGATCCTCTGTGTGTTGAGGCAGGACAGGTAGTAGGACTGAGTCTTCCTCTCTGCTTCGCTGGTTCCGTTAAACGTCCCATTCTCTGTGAGGAAGAACAACAAGAAGACGCATCCATGATCAGGAGGAGCACGGCTAGTTGTCCGGTTCTGGAGCGGTCCAGCAGAGCTGCACATGTCAGCATACCCAGTAAGTGTTTGAGGAGCGCCTGGTTCTGCTCCCATATGCTGTTGAACGTGGACCAGCGCGAGCGTCCGTCAGGCAGTGGGTTCTTTCTCATCCATCCGCCGCAGGCGAACTGGTAGAAATCCTGGCAGGGGTCGGCGCTGCGGTCCATCGCCTCAACAATCTGACTCGCCACAGTGACGCATGCCTCTGACAGGCAAAGGCCCCGCCCACTGTCTGCAAGACAACACGGAGGGGAAAAAAATGCTAGGGCATTAACCGTACCGCACGCATCACCGAACCCACGGGAGAGATGGAGAACAATCGGAGGATAACATCAAGATACAGACTGGTACCACAGGAAAGAAGCCAAGAGGCTCGACAGGAAGAGGATTCAGAGGATGAAAAGAACCAAAGTTAATGATGAAAAAAATGGATCGAAACCTACTGGGTTTAATAAAAGGATTAAAGAAAGGAGATGGAACATAAAAAAGGAAAGGTGACAAGACTGAAACAAAAGCAAGAGAAGGAAAAGGAAAAGAATTAGATGTGGGAAATTGGGGAGATCAGTCAGGGAGGAAAGGTGGGGACCGGAAAACAAGGAAGCTTTAGGAGGAGAGGATAAGGAAAGGAGGAGGTGGAAATAAAGACAAGTGGGTGAGAGGAAAAACCAACATGGAGATGCGATCCGGTTACCTGAGCTGAATCCCAGCCCCAGAACCACCAGACAGGCGAGCAGAGCCAGCAGAGCAGCGAGAAGCATGACTGAGAGGAGGACCTCCAACTGAGTCCTCCTACCCAGGATGTCCACACCACCCTTCCTGAAGCCAACCTGGGACAGAAAGAGGAGGTTACCTGAAGCTCATGGATCCATGCGTCCAACTGGACTTCTGATGTCTACATTCCCATGACACAAGTACTAAACATCTGGAGTCCATCTCCTCAGAATAACAGAAATATGAACATCCGGGAAAAAAATCTAAACTCTCCAAACATCTAGGGGACAGTTATCCAACATTATCTAACTTATCCTGAACACGTCCTCTTTTATCCATCTGTCCATATCTCTGGATTCAGACACTGCAGATTCTGCTGAACAGGATGCAGAGCAGGTATAAGGCTGACTCATTCTGCTGCTTTCTGGTTCTGTTTGAACGTAGTTGAATGAGGGATCATCGTCTCTTTGTTTGGATCTTTGAGTCGGGGTAATTTCATTGCTGAGGCTTCACTGCATGCTTCTGTGATGTAGAACCAGTTTATCCTGCGGAGCTGATCTATCTCCAATGTTATGACTTGTTTTTATCCGTTTCTGAGAATGTGCTCGTTGTTTCCCCCTGTGTCTCATCACTTTCTGTTTGTGTATGTAAGCCTGTCTTTTCCTCTTTCTTTATGTGTTTAGCTTCGACCCGGCCCACGTTCTGCTCTCTGTTCTTTATCAGGATTTATGTTGGATCGCTGCCTCCAGCCTCAGGTTTGGTTTGTGTGCTTGGTTTTCTGCTCCAGTTTACTAAACCAGTTAAATACATGTTTTTTAAGCTTTTCTTTAGCAGCTTTTTTCTTCTTCTTGTAAGGTTTTATGGCATTTGGCAAACTAATTAAAATTGCATTACCGCCACCAACTTATAGGGAGTTAAAAAAGGAAACAGGACTCACCCCGAGAAAATAAAAGAATTAAATAAAAAACTTAACCCAACATAATACTCATTTATATTTCTGTTATCGTCACTCTGCCAGGTTCTTATGGTCCTACTGGTTTTCCCATCATGCTTTCAACCGTTTCCCAGTTTAAATCTCTAACTTCAAGATACTTTTCTGCAGCTTTCATTTTTTTTGGTTTTCTTTGTCGTCTGAGCAATAAAAATGATCACTTCTACCATGAAAAGAACAAAATCTTTCTTTTTTATAATCAATGAATCCTCTGAAATTTTGCTGCAGAGGTTTTTAACTTTTCATTTCCTTAACTGTTGCCTGACTGAGTCTTTCTGACTCGGATGGGATTCTTTTTGCAGATTCAGCATAAATTATTTCAAGATCTAATTTTATTTTTCTAGTTTCTTCAGATCTTTTTCTCACTTCACACCTGCGATAAGCTCCAGTATGTTCTCCATCAAAGCTTCTTTATCAGCTTACCTATAATTCTGCTTTAAGTCCAAAAGTGATCTGAAGGATGCAAAAGAAGGCGAGTCTCTGTATTCAAACATTTTAAATGAGACACGCCCACAGATTATGACATCACACCAGCACCCAGGTGGAGCTCATTCGGTTTTCTCTTCTGAGGCTGATTTCTGAATTCATCTGAAGCCACGGTGAAGCTTAGAGAGGGCGGACACCATGCTGCTTCCCGACTTCAGCAGATGATGAAATTAAAATGGCTCCGAGTCCTCAGGGACGCGTACACAGAAAACATTTGCTGCTGTAATGAGGCTAATTATCCTCGACCGGCTCATTTCCTCCCACTAGTCCAGCATGTTAAAAATCTCCATTAATCTCCTTTTTTTCTTCAGTGGTTTACCTCCAAGCAGTCAGACTTTCCAGTAGTTTCTCTTTGTTTTTTATTTTTTTTATGTGCTCTGCGTACGTTTTATCCAAATACCTGAAATGTTTTATACGATTATTTGAATTCTGACCAATCAGATATGCAGACATGTGCTGATTGCTTCTCAAAATGGTCTTGACATGCAGAAAAAAGAGGATTCTACCTGTGATGAAGTGATTCCCAATGAGAAAATTAGTTCCCTAATTTAGAGAAATGCTGAAAAAAGTTCTCTGACAGAGAAAAAAAAGTCTGTTTTAATTTTTATTTTCATTAATCTTCACATATTGAAGTCTTTTTTTTCCAGTACATTATTGTATATTAAAATTCTGTTTATCACAATAGTTTGACATAATCTTAATTTGAGGTTAATTTTGATTATTCATGGTTGTTTTAGCTGATTCCTAAATTAGCTCAAAATCTCAGAACTGTAATTATAAAAGATGAGTTTATCTTAGTATAAAATATCTTTTTACATTTTATCTTGGTAAAGTTTATATAAGGTAGGTTGGTGGCTTCATTTAGCTTAGCTTTTAGATAGTTTAGAGGTGGACAACGTCACACGAGCTCCCTCATGCTATTGGGAAGATTATAATGCCTGGAATAACAGAGAAAGTGAAAAAATAACATATCTGCTGCTATAATGGAACTTTATTGATCTCACATTCTGCATGGAGTTTGCATGTTCTCCCTGAGCATGTGTGGGTTCTCTCTCGCTACTCTGGCTTCCTCCCAGAAAAACATGACTGTTAGGTTAATTGGCTTCTCTAAATTTTCCTTAGGTGTGACTGTGTGTGTGAATGGTTGTTTGTCCTGTTTGTCTCTGTGTTGCCCTGCGATAGACTGGAGAGCTGTCCAGGGTGGACCCCATCTCTCACCCTTAGACAGCTGAAAGTGGGCACCTTGGGATAAGGGTGACAAAAAATGGATGGATAGATGGGTGATCTCACATTAGAGAAATTTACCTCTGCATTTAACCCATCCCCATGCAGAGCAGTGGGCTGCCATTGAGGGGCGCCCAGGGACCAGTGTGGGGTTAATGGTCTTGCTCAGAGAGCCAGAGTGGGAGTCGGGCTTGAATTCAGACCCTCTTGATTCAAAGGTCTATGCCCTAACCACTAGGACACTCCCCAGCCAGAAAGTAATACTAAAGTAAGCTTTAATGTTAGAATTACTCAGGGTTTGATCCCCAGTATCCTACATTAAGAATTTAAACCCCTTTGATATAAGGGGACTGAATGAGAAACTGTAAGATCTGTATGTTACTATATTGGCTTTCATTGTTAATTTCCTAAATTACGATATCTTTTTTAGTTAAGTGTGTGGGAAATGTGTATTTCAGGCTTGGCTTTCAGTCGATCCACTATTTGCTAAATCAATAAATCTGGGATCAACCTCATGTGTCTTGAAGAAAACTGCGTTTAGCTTGATTACTCGCACCTGGCTGGAGGCAGCAGCACCTGTGGAGCCAGGCTGTGTGTTTGGGGATTGGATGAAGTCTGGCTTTATCTCTCCTCCTGGGATTTCTGATCATATCTACACCTATTTATATTTGCTTAAATTATGTTAGTTTATCTTGTGTTAGCATAATTAAGCACCAACCCTTTAAACTGTGAATATGTAAAATTTCACTAGAAAAATGACAGAATCCAACCACAAATATCTCAAACTTTTTTCACTTAAGAGATTTCAACCTTTAATCTTTTATTAGTTATATCTAAGTGTCTTTTGCATTTTTGATTCAAAGGTGCAATCTTTAGCTTTGAATAAAAGGCGTTTCACCTTTTCACATTCTTTGACATCAGTGGTGTCTTTTAGGTCTTTGCTGACATAAGAAAAATAGATATTTTAGAGATATTACTGAAGTCTCTTTCTGATCCACCACTAATCCGGTAACATATTTACTCAGGTAGAGATGCCAACGGAAAGGATACTTCTTGGCCAAAAGTAGTCTTCCCTCCTACTGGCATAATTCAAGTTTTTGACTTTTCTTCTGCGAGTGAAATTATTTTTCAAACTTTTGACTCAGACCTGAAATGAAATAGACATGTTTTTGATCGAAATATGGTACAGTCTTGTTTTTTAGGGACTGTTGGCATCCCTGGGTACAGGGACAGGGCTAAGAGTCAGCTAAAAGGCAACCAAAGCCTAAAGATAAGATTAAAAAAAGTATTGTGATGGAGATATTTGAAAGATCGCAGAAAATCTTCAGAAAGAAAAAACTGAGTTTGGACCACGAGGTTTAGATTAGAGGTAAGTTTTAGGTTAAAACTTCAAAAAAGGTTGACTGGAGGAAAATTTAAAACCCAAACTACACTTTTTTGATTTTACAGCCTTTTATGTTAAATAGCATTATGGTGACATGTATTAAAGTATGCCATAAATTCAGCTTTTGAATTAAATTCTTAATTAATATTGTTAGTATTTCAAAACATTAAGATTTTTCTTTTTTGTTTTTAAGCTGAACAACTCCCTGCTCTCCTGCACAGAAATCCCATTTGTTTCCCAGAGCTGGCAGAGCTCCAGACCTCCTGCTGCTCCTCTGTTGGTGGCATTGGCCCCACACTAAAGGGGCCCCCTGCTGTGCTTCAAGGCTTTCTCTGTCCCAGAGCATTTATCCGTCTCAGGTCAGGACTTCACCAGGCAGCACTTACAGGATCCCCTGAAGTTTGGCTCGTGGTCTGTGCTTGTGTTGCGTTCACTGACCTCCATTCTGTCAGGAGATGAGGCCGCCTCAGCTGGCGTGTCCGAGCCCTCCTCCTCCTCCAGCGTAGCTCGCTTGTAGCTGGACATCTGCAGAGTGAAAAATAGATCTTGGGTCAGTAGATGTACATTGTAAAATAAATTCTGTTACATTATTGTTGCAAAGAATATGTTTTTAAATGGAAATAATATGCAATCCAGAAATATAATTCTAAAAACCATATTTTTTAAACATTTTCTTTACAGATATTATACGTCCTTTTCTATTTCTGTTTTTCAGACTGAGTTTTATAAATTACATTCTTTAAAAATTTATTTCCATAATTTCCATGCAGACCAATAGAAACTCCTGGGGAACGCCAGCCCCAGAAGTGAAGATCATGTGATCATAAAATTCAATCTTAAAAAGTAGGGGAAAAAAATGAAAATATAAAATATGTTAAAGATAAAATTCAGAAAAATAAAATTATAAAATACGAAAAACACATTTGAAAGAAAAGATTTTCTAAAGTTTTTTCAAAAATTCAATTTACAAATAATGTTGTTATAAAAATATTCTGTTTGCAACATTAATGGAACAACATTGACTCCATCGTAGTGCATCATATTTAACTTAAACAAAGATTCGGACATCAATGAGTTGCGTTTCTCCCTGCATCGATCTGCTGTGTCTGTCTGGGTCAGGCTGAAAGGTGGAGCGCTCCTCTGGGACAGGAAGCTACATCTGACACCGCCACTCGATGTGAAACAGGTTTATTCTCCCCGCTGCAGGGAGGATCCATGAGGATTCACAGCAGATCAGACATTTCATCATCACCACCTAAACCTTTAAACTCACATTTGGATTTGAGTTGTGTGTTAAAGGCAGAAGGACAATAAGCCTCCCACTGCTAAAGCTGGGCGCTTTGGTAACATTTTATTTTATTTATAGTGTATTTAGTTCCAATCAGAGCTGCTTAAAAACCCAAACTCCAGGGGAATCAAGCTAAGAGAATAACCATTATCATTTCTGAAGAAGTGAAAATAAAAACAAAATGCAACCTTTATGGAGCCTAAAATAAAATGTGATTGAAGTTTAGCTTCATTTATTCACACAGCTGCACATAAACAAGATGGAATATCTGAAAACTTTTATTGTTTTTTAATTTTTTCATCCAAATCTCAGACATCATTCACTTGATGAAGCTGTTTTTCTTACCAGTGGAGGTCTAACTGAGTGAGCCTTGCTGGGGGCAAATTAAGCAGCCTTCTGATTCCAAATTAACAAAGTCAAGATATTTTCCCTCCAAGTTAACAACTGGTTGTTTGCTGCTCACACCTTTGTTTATAGATGTTCGAGATCAGGCTGCTTTTCAGTGTAGTCCTGTTTCTCTAAGTGTGACAGGCTGGATGTGCTCCCTTCATCCTCTGACATGGGAGCTCGTCTGCCTGGATGTGTATTTCCTGGACGGGGTCGCCTATGGAGCTGGTTGACAGTTGCCTTTTGTATCCCTACTTCTTTTTTAATCTCTGCTTCTGTCTCCTTGAACCCCAGTCGGCCTCGGCAGATGGCCGCTCACACTGAGCCTGGTTCTGCTGGAGGTTTCTTCCTGTTAAAAGGGAGTTTTTTCTCTCCACTGTCGCTAAAAGCATGCTTAGTGTGAAAGATTGCCCTTGAACAGGGGTGGAAAGTAATGAATTACATTTACTCAAGTTACTGTAATCGAGTACTTTTTATGAGTAATTTGTAATTTTCTGAGTAGTTTTTGAAATGTGTAATTTTTACTTTTACTCGAGTAAATTTTAACCTAAGTAGTTTTACTTTGCTACATTTAAAACCCCCTCACGTTGCTGAGTTAAAAAAATAAAAATAAAAATACTGATGGTGAGAAAATTAAATGCCGCCAGAAATGTAAACCCCTGTGTCTTGGAACCAAAACTTAATGCGTGGCCCTGCCTTACAATTACTCTTTGTATTGCCTCATAATCCAGTGCTGCGCTTTGGAAGATGGCAGTTGTTAATCACAACTTAGGGAGTATGGAGCCTGAAGAGGAAACATATTCTGGAGACAAAAGCTGGAAAAACCCTTTGCCATATTTGGAAGGATTATTTGTTTTTTGTTTTTTGCACTTTATGGTACAGGTTGTGACTGTCCTTGTGCTGTGAGGAAGTATGTTCTTTAGCCCAGGTGATCTTTTGCAAGTGTGGATGTCACTGAAATACGCCTTGAAATTGATTAAAACACCTTGTGCTCAATTCGATTCATGACTCATCCTTTTTTTGCATTAAATAACTCAAAGTAACTAAGTAACTTTTACTCAAATTACATTTTAAATGAAGTAATTTTGTACTTTTACTTGAGTAAATTTTGAGATGGGTAATTTTACTTTTACTCTGAGTAGAATTCAGGCAAAGTAAAGATACTTTTACTCAATTACAATTTTTTAGTACTCTTTCCACCTCTGCCCTTGAGTCAATGAGTCGATGCAATCCACTGGTTTTCCTTAGATAGAAAACTTTAAATCAATCTGACTGTATGGGAGTTGGCCCTATATAAATAAACTGAATTGAATTGAGTTGATGCTGTATATTCTGGCTGTCACTGACTGATATTCAGCATCTTACACCAGATATTTCACTGTAAAAGCCTCCCTAGAAATCTTCTGATCTCAGTTCCATGGCTGATCACAGTCGAAGACAAACGGTGCCACAGATACCAAGTGGTTTCTGGAAAAATTCTTCCACACCTCTCTCTCTCATTCTCACCCAAGTTTGTTCTTTTAACCATGAGACAACTAACACCCCTAACTTCCTGTCTATCGGCTGTTGGACTGAAGCATCCAACTGTCCGATCCCGCTGTCCTCTCAGTGGCAGCAGGTTCCGATCATAAGATCTGTCGTTTATCATCTTCTACACGCAATCAGGTTTCAGGGAGTAAAAAGGATGAACACTTGCAGTTTGTTGATGCCATGAAACCTTCAAGCAAAAAGCGGTTTTCACCATCTTGATGCATCAGCCTTTTCTCCAACAGGCGACTGACTGGCATGATGGTTTCTTATTTGATGAAGAAGACGAGACGAAGAGCAACAGGGGTTTGCCTCCTGGTAGGAACAGCTCCAAAAGACGGCCCCCCAGAAGCAGCTTTCATCCTGGCTCTGATCTGCATCTCGTTGCCATGGCTTTGAGTTAGATGGTAGAGTTTGTCTATTCAGTTCACCACCCAAGAGCACAGCATTCTGCTTTCAAAGAAACTGTAATTGTTTAATCCCCAATACCTCAACTGTTCTGACCCAGTTCCAGTCCTTGGGAGGGCCTCCCCTCATGAGCCAGTCTCTGGGTAATGATTTGGACAGAGGTAGGCCTGTCCAGCCCCCACCAGCCGAAGGTCCTCTTTGTTTTAGATGTTTTATGGTTTAAACTCACCACCTGTTAATGATAGGTTCCCCAGACTCCTGCAGAACACGATAGGAGCTAAAAGGAGATGAGTCCGATATCTGGATCAGTGCATATAGGGCTGGAACTGCCCACGATAACACTATTACCAGTCCTTTAAGCTCAAAGTAAGTAAAATCAGTCTCATCCTGAGTTCTGGTTGAGTAAACAGCAGTTTATTTTTTGTTTTTAGTATCAAATGAATTTTCATGGCCTTGCCGAGCTGCAACTGCTCCATAAACCAACATCCTGATACTGTTTGATCTCCTGAAGCTGTGCAGAAGTTAGTCTCCTGAGCTCAGGAGGCCTTAGCAGCTGTTTGCAGAGCGAGCTGCTGTCTCCTAGCTTCCTGTCCGCCCGCGGAGCGTCGGTGTCCTGCAGGAAACAAAAGGTTTCCAACTGTTTCCTTCCTCAGGACCCGCACTGAAACCTGTCTCCCTCTCTCTGCGTCTCCCTCGGTGTCTCTCTCCCCGCTCTGTTCTCTTTAATTGATGACGCACGCAGAGTGGGGTGGGCGGGGGTCAGCGATCAGGTTGCCAGGAGACAGGAGTGTGTGTTGTCTCTCCCTGTAGAGCCTGATGTCATTGTGTGTGTGTGTGTGTAATTAGATAATGTGTGTGAATCATCTCCATTCAGCTCTAATAGAGTTCACTGCAGCTTATATAACATCTGTCTGTCTGCTCTTTTGTCCCCTGCCAGCCTCCGTACTCTGACCTGAGACAGAAACACTAAGAACAAGACGGCAGCATGAGGACAAGCTTCATGTCTGAGCGGAGAAAAAATCCAACCATCCAGTCTGAGCAGGAAAATCCCCCAAAACCGTTCAGCAGAACCCCGCTGCTCTGAGTCACTAACAGACACAGCGTGGAGGGTCCATCACGCCCTGATTCAAAACATCTGCAGAAACCAGAGCTACTATGAAGCAACATTAGGGGATTACTTTCAGATCCAGTTCTGTCTGAGCCATGGAGTTTCATTTCTACACCTTGTCTGCATGAAAACAGAACAATGTCTGGACACGAATCTACAGACAGGACGCAAAGCAGTTCCATTTACAGTAGGTCTATCTGCAAGAAGGAAGAAACTGTGAAGGAGACATTGGATCAGGATATCTGAGGGTTTGTCTATAGCTGGCTGCTCTCCTGGGGTCTTTATTAAACATACAAATATGCACAATTTGGAGGAGGGGAAAGCTAGCCACACAGACGGAGACTAAGGTGAGGAACTAAAGTCAGAATTTCAGTTCAGTTTATATACATAGCGCCAATTCACAGATTGTACAGTCAAATTGATTCAAAGTTTTCTATCTAGGGAAAACCAGTTGATTGCATCAACTTATGCATCTTAATTAATAATAATTAATAATTCATCTCATGGGCAAACTGGAACATCTGGGCTTCAACACATCCCTCTGCTATTGGCTGTTAGACTTCCTCACCAACAGAACTCAGTCAGTCCGGGTCAGACAGAACACCTCTGATGTCATCAGTCTAAGCACAGGCTCCCCTCAGGGCTGCGTCCTGAGCCCCCTGCTGTTCACTCTGATGACACATGACTGCGTCCCCAGGTTCACCACCAATCACATCGTGAAGTTTGCAGACAACACCACAGTGGTGGGCCTCATTAGAGAAGATAAACGACCAGAACTACGGAGAGGAGGTGGAGCAGCTGGTGGAC